AGAGTCGTCACCGAAACAGGTTGGAGTTAGGGAGAAGAGTTTGATGTTCATCGTTTCCATTATTTTGGGTCCATAACAAATTTTTTGTTTCACTGATTCTAATTTTTGTTGTCTAGAAGGACCCAGTTCTCCGGAGTCGTGTGTAAATAGTGGTGATTTCGATGTGGTCCCAAAAAATCATATCGACTTTGGAACCAAAAAATATGGGACCGATGCTTATTCTCCGAATATAAAATGTTGGTATAGCTTCAGAAACACATTCAAGGATCACCTGATTGCTGTCTGTGAGTTGCTTCGATATTCCGAACATTCTCGTTATTCCTTTCTCAAACGTAATTCTAACTGTAATGTTTGACATCTCTTGAAAATCTTTCTAAATTTAGAAAATATACTTTCTCACGAATTTATTTTCAGAAGAAATCAGTGTAGAACTCACAGTTTCCATCTTATCCTTTCTTATTTAACATGCTTTTTTTCGTGATTTCTACCAAAAAGAAATTAATTTTTGAAATTTTAAAAACCTAGACAAAATTTTGTTCAATTACAGTAACAATAGTTTCAGAAAAAAACATCAATAACTTTAAACACAAAAAAATCATTTATTTTACATAAAAATGCAAAAAATCCACGAAGTTCGAAATAGTTTTTTGAGTTTTGAGCTCACGCAAAACACTGTGGCACTCCTTAGTTTCTCATTCTCCAACACTTACATGACTCGCTAGGAAATAGTAATGACAATGAGTAGATGACCCTGAATCTTCTTTCATCAGCTTTTTCACGTGACTGCAATATTCATTTTAAGATATGGAGTTTGAGACGGAAAAGTGTTGCGATATCATGCTCATTGACGGTATTGCTCCTGCTCCTTACAATGTGGGTTGCAGATGAATTAGCACTCATCTTATCGACAAATTCGGAAAAGTATTATTTCAGTTGTATAATTATCAAGGTTTTATGCAGCCAATGTTCCAATTTGCTAACAGCAGCACAGTCACGTTCAATTTCACCTCCGATGGACTTGTTGGTGGATCGGGCTTTAGTGGATCCGTCTATAATATTGGTGAGCTTTTTTGTTTGCCACTCATACAAGTTCCTACCGATTAGGGACATATTTGCTCCCCATCTGGCTTTGGGAACGGTGTCTAAAAGAT